TAAACTTAAATCAAGTGATAATAAAGATTTTGGAAATGAATTAATTATAATATTTGTAAAAAGATTTGAACTAAGATTAAGATAAATTAAATTATCATTTAATATTGTCCAATCAATATATGTTAAATAATTATAACTTAAATCTAATATTGTTAAATTTTTATTTGATATTGTTAATGAATAAAATTCATTTAAATTATTTTTTGATATATTTAATGAAATTAAATTTTTATTATTTTGTAATATAATTGATGTTATATAATTATTAGCAAGATTAAGATAATAATATGTTGTTGATAAAAATATTGTTTGTGTTAAAAAATTATTTTCTAAATTTAATTGTTTTATATGATTTATATTTGGTATATGTTTTAATTGACATGAATTTAATGAAATTATTTCAAGATTTGTCATATTATGAAAAAATTTTTCTAAATTTATATTTGTTAAATTAAATTGATTTAATTTAATTAAACGTAATTTTTTTAATGGATAACGTGTTAAAAATTCTAATGAATTTATATGATTATTACCAGTTAAAATTAATTCTTCTAAATAATTTCCTAATAAACGTAATAAATTTTCATCAATAAATGATAAATTATTTCCATATAAATTAATACGTTTTATTGTTTTTATATTATCAAATGATGATGATGTTAAATTTTTTATATTATTATTTATTAATATAAGTTCATCATATGAATATGAACGTTTAAATTTTGGTATATGATTAAGAGAATTTTCGTCACATTTTATATATGATTCACCATTTGTTAATATTCCACAATGACAACGTGATAAATATTCATCCGTTAATGGACAAGATTTTATTTGATGAATTAAAAAAAGAAAAACGAGTAAGAATAACATCTAAAATGTAAAACAAAAAAAAAGAAAAATAACAGTCAACACTTTACCTGGTATTTATCAAATGAATGCACACCGACAATAGACAATTAATATTAGATGAAATTTTAGACTGTCTGGCGTTATCTCTCTTGAGTTTAAACATGTGTTCAACTATTTTATACACGCACATGAGATGAAGAATAGTTGATTATCTATCTCCACTAGCTGATTGATATTCTACTCTTTACAAATATCTAAGATGACAAGAATAACATTCGAGTGAGTTTTTTCCCGAATTATTTATGTAATACAAAGAAGAAAAGAAAAACTGATAAGAAACAGTCAAAAACAATCATCCATGATGTAAGATTGTAAATAGAAAGAAATAGGACAAAAGTATATATATATATATATATATATATTCATCTTTATTGAATTCCGCATGCATTCTTGCTCTATACGATGATAATGTACAATTCACACATATCTCATCACTGTAGGCAGTACAGTTTACTGACTCTTTTTCTTACCCACCCACTGTGTTTAAGCAAAAAAAAAGAAACTAAATCGATTGTCACTTCACTTCACGATGACGACCAAAAACGTTAAGTGGTTTAATAGAATTGAAATGACAGGAAGAAAAGTTATCGTCACTCATCAAAAAATCGCTTCTTTTTCTTCATCTTCTGCTTTTTTTTTTCTTTTATGAACACTGTATGCCAATAAGCGGCAACAGACCGGATGACGGACATATACATACGCATAATGTTTTGTGAATGAATAGTTCATCAGTAGACACGCGTGTTGCTTGTGTAATCGTACTTGACACTCCGCCCATTTCAACAATATACAAAGAGCAAAAGAAAAAAAAAAGTCAAAATGTATGATGATGATGATGATGATGCAACAAATCGAATGCGTATGTGAACTGAGAGGTTTAATCGAAACAACAGAAAAAAAACTCGTTTATATCTTCCTATCATAATAATCCAAAAAAAAAAAAAACGAGCAACGAGAAAGAGAAAGTACTATAATAACATTATGACTTACTGCGGATAGATCATCACGATGAACAACGATAGCTGACTGTTTGTCGTTTGTATCTCTTGAGAAAAAGAGCAAGTCAAATGAATGTTCATTTCTATTCATTTAATTGAAAAAGAAGGTATAATATGTATGTGAATAAGAGGAGAAAAAAAAAAGAAAAAGCTTTAAACGAATTGGGAGTTTTACCTATGCATATATACACAGTCATCTGAAAACATCGATCACAGACAAAAAAAAAACGATTATCGACTTCCCGTGGCGGACAGAAGAAAAGAGAAGAGAAAAAAAAATCGACACCTGTTCGAATACGAGCAGTGAAAAGGTGCGAAGTGTCTGTTCTAATCTTCAAATAACTCTCTGGCGTAATTCACTATGATGATAAGTGATTTAGCTCCAATTCCAGTATTGGACAGGTGAAGCCATTTTTTTCTCTCTCTCTCTCTTTTTCTCTTTACCTTATCAATCTCATTTAAAAAGTCGAGTGTACATATCCAAAGATTCATCATCATGACAATATATATGCAAATATTCGAACCATGAAATGCTCCGTTATCGATAAGATGTGAGTGAAGAGCAAACACATACATACATATATACTCATCATTACACTACTCAAGCATGCATACACTCGACAAAAGGTAACAATCTCACAATTGAATTAGCCTCGATATTAATGAATATATATATATATATATATATATATATATATAGAAAAATACTGATGATAGATTCATTAGAATTTGTTTTTTAAGTGTATACTAACAAATGGCTGATTTATAAGAATGGAAAAGAAAAAAGTCTAAATAAACTTATGATGATAGCAGACAGAATCAATAAATAACACGTACATGTACAATTGTATTTGATAAGGATATGAGCCTAAAAGCAAACAATCAACACCATGTGAGTGACATAAACATACACAAGAAAGAAAAGAAGGTTCAATACTATGCTAGCGGCAACGGAAGGAAGGTTAAATAAGTTGAGTTAAACATAAATGTTGACAGTATATTCAATGATTTTTTGTTTTTTTGTTTTTCGTCAACAAAACGAAGTTTTATTTCACACCCTTTCATAGTTTGAAATATGATAAGAAATTATTGATTCATTACAGATATCCGTTCAAAAAATAGAAAGAGTATCGACAAACAGATTAAAAGAAATTCTATACATATGTTCTATTTTAAAAATCAATGAAATAGAACGTCTTTCATTAACAAATACCAAACGTCAAATTCGAGAATAATTAATATATTAATTAACTCACGTTATATGTTTCATTCGTCTTACCAGGGTTAATCATTGATCCGAGGGAAATGTTAATGCCTTAAGGGTGACAAAATAATTGGTAAGAACTCTTTCAACATAGTCGATACTTGATTAGTTTCGACGGATGAGATAGAACGAGGCTAAGATACATGCACATTGTATGTAACAAAAAAAAAAACGGAAAAGTCAATGTTTGTCGGATCGTACACGATAATATCAAATTTGTCCTTCGATAAGGACAGAATTTGACGGAATCCCGTAGCTCTTCTCTAGTACTATAGTCAATTAGTAGCGAACGAGTCCTTTATTCTAATATGATTAGACGACAACACTGTTACTATACTACTGTTATTTCTTCTTATTGCTGCTCCGTCTTCTCGTTTCTTTTTTCTCTTTCTTATTCCAGTTCAGTTAATAAAGTAAACGAAGAGGAAAATAGAAAGAAATAGATGTGCGCGCTCTCTCTGTCTCTCTTTTTCTAAGTTGGTCTCTTAGGGTATAAGAAAAACAACAACATCACATAAATGCAAACCGAAAATTAACACTCTCACTAGATTACTCTGCTCTCTCTCTCTCTCTCTCTCTCTCATGTATATTGAGCTTTCTTCTCAATTTCTTTAGGGATCTCATACATTCATACACATACAATTTATGTTTGTCAACCGAAGGCCATGTCCAGTCACGATTGATCAAGCGATTTTGACTGTACATCACTACCATCATTCGTTTATAATCATAGAGAAAATAAAAGAGTAAAAGTGTTTGCATGCTTGATTGAAGTTCAATGATTAAACTCAAACGAACTATTCATATGATGAGTAATAATGGGCGTACGACTGTATAGAGTGTGCGTAGCCAATATATACACAATCTCTTTGATATGGAAATTGACGTTCTAGTGATATCGCATTTCTTTTTTTTCTCTTTCTATTGTATAATGTTCTATCAATGATTCGAAACGTAGTATATACACATATGCATTCAATGATATTATTAAAAAAAGTTAATCAACAATTGTTCGTTTGTTGGTTTTTCTTTTGGTACTATTCTATTCGTGTCATATTATTGTCGAAAGTTATCTGTCAGAAATGCATTCATATTCATTGTTCAACAATTACTAGTTATAATAATCTAACATGAACCTATTCATTATATTAAACAAAGAAATTAGAATGTAGTGATAGCTATTTATTGAGAATCTAAACTGTTCAATCATATCGATATAAATAGATATATATTTGGTAGACAATAAGTTCATGTCAAAATAAAATAATGATAATGACAACATTCAACTAAAAGATTTCATATAATAGACAGATTATATGCAGTTCGATCCGATCTTTTTCTTTTTCTATCAAAGAAATTTGAATCTTGATACTAGACACCTCGATAGTCAAGTACATTTTTTTAGTGAAAATCATGTTTTTATCATACACACAAAAAAAAAGGATCAGACAGATTTGAATATAAATTTTATAATTATTCGTTTTTATTTGAAATACGTGGTCGTATAGATTTTTTTTCCAGGAATTGAGATTAAGAAAAAAAAAAGAAACAAATTATGAGCATGTATCTTCATCTGAGGTCAAGTTTCTGGCATCTATATGTGATATGTTCCTGGCTCTCTGTCTTTATCTGCTTATATACAAAAGATGTAAAGCATCGTTTTGTAATTTTTCTCATCGTTACTAACTCATGGTTGGAATTCTTGCAGTATCAAGAAAAAAAAACTATACATATTCATCTGTGTCTTTTTTCAAGGTGAATATTAACCGAAAAAAGACAATTTATTAGTTTGTTTACATATCTTATAGGAAAGTCTTGTTAGTACAATGTTACAAATTACATTAGTCGATTCGCAATTATTTACCAACGATGATGGTATTATACGGCACATGGTTAATAACAAGAATAGGGCAAGTGAACTTTTATATACAGAGAAAAGAAGAAACAGAGAGAGAGAAATGACAGAAAAATAAAAGAAATGCTTCAATATTATTGTTAGATACGTCAAAAAGAACCAAAATCCTCTTCTTCTTCTTCTTCTTCTTCTTCTTCTTCATCATCATCGTCTATTTTGAACTGTCAGTCATTTTTGACACTTCATCAATGTTCTTCGACAATGACAATACCATATGGAACGATGACGACGAGCAGTCCGATGCTCAATAATAATAATAATAATAGTAGTATTATTACAGAAAAATCACCATCTCGTTTTTCGTATCTAATACGACCAACAACACCATGCATATTTGGAACAGAAAATTATGATGATAAATTAGTAGATGACGATGAATTTTTTGTTACTGCTGGTGGTATTGTTCATTCATGTCCAAATATCTATGAATTGTCAACCAAAGATGAATATGAACATCGAATACTACGATCATGTAATAATTTAATGTTTATTAATAAACAGACAACATCAATGAATAATCATTTAAATACTTATGATACAGAATTCAATCGTTATTCGATTTTACCACGTTTTCAACCTATATTATCATCATCATTATCAACCGATTCAATTAATTCTGAAATAGAATTATATAAAAAAAGACATGCATTTGGCCTTTCTCGAAAATATGATAATACTATGTCAATATATTCATCATTTTTATCAAAAACATGGAAATCTGACAATTATCTTTTGTTTATGCCAGTTCGACATCATCAGTTTTCATTACCAACTTCAAATTATCGTAATAAACGATCACATTCATATGATATTCGAATTCGACGAATATTTACATCTACATTTTTTTGAAGTTATTTTTTACTCTTATTCTGTGATAATTTATTTTACAGAAATTTTCTGAATATTAAAAACAAGCACTGTAAAATGTCATTTGTTGATCTTGAGTTTAAGAAAGACAATTTAGGCAATCGAAAACGTCAATCACAATAAGTTTGTGACATTGATAAATTCTCGGACATGGTATAGACATTTATAAAATATCACATCAGTACATATCGAGTATCAATATGTGTATATATCTTTTCTTCACCAATACCCATACCTACACGTAAAATAAAAAATAAGAAGAAATATTTATGTACCGAAACGCTTATCGTCGGGTGGGATATTGAAAACAAAAGTTAATTACTACCTTTTCAACACACACATGCAATCATCGTATCTTCTCCTTTGCGAACATAAAATTAAGGTTCAAAATCTATTGAATTCGATTGCAGTTGTTTTTTAAATTTAACTTATTCAAATTGAAAACAATCTTAGGTCTCAATTTGTCATTTTTTAAATTTAAAAAAAATTACTGATAACAATTTTAATACAGCTTATACTTCCAGTTATATTTTTTAACTTGCTGAAATTCAGAGTTCGCTAAAAATTGAGTTTCACTATTTCAAAATGTAGTAGTGCTTTTTTTCTTCTTAATTGACTGCAATTTGTAGAGTTCGTCAGATATAATTGTTACTATGAATGTCATGAGCTGTTTTTGATTTGAACATATCATCTAATTGTGATTATAAAATGGAGTCAAACATCGAATGGAGACAATTGATTGAGGTGCAAAAGCATTTATATACAAAAATCAAAAACACAAAAAATGATATTTTAAAAAAGACGGTTTAGAAATATGAGTGTTGATGAGTATCTTCTCTTGACGAAGACAGTCCGATTCACTGAAAATACATTCGGAATAAATATCGAATTATCACAACAGATTAAGATACAACGTCCTTAAAAACTAGCTTTGTCTTTAATTTAAATCGTTCTTAACTCAGTTCAAATAGACGATGCTTGCTCGTGCATTAGGACTAGTAGTTTATTAATAATAAAAGAAAAACAAATCAGCTAGTACATTTCTTTTTTGATTGACATTAAAATTCTTTGTAGCTAAGTTCAAACGAAAATCTTCGTTGAACAAATACCTAACGTCCTCTACAAATTACAACTATTCTACTGAATTTAAAAACCTTATTTTATTAAAAGCTTACGTCCTCTACAAATTGCAGTGACTGTCTAAAGTTTAAAAACTTTCTATTATCAAAAACTAACGTCCTCTACAAATTACAGCATACTTAGTTAAAATAAAATAACTTTTTATTAAAATCTTTTAAAGCAATTTACTTTCTATATTCATTCTCACTAATCAAATTTTTAAAAGTTAACTATAAATTTTGATCGTTTTACAAAAAAGTAATAAAATTATTATCTGTAAATCAAACGAAATTTTAAAAATTTTAGTTTACTCAAAATGGACCATCTAAACGGGTCTGTTCTAGCGAGGGCGGTAAGAAATCATCAAGACGAAAATTAAACGGTCAAATATGATTGCCAGAGACTAGAAGAAATTCTCACTGGTCGTTAATTGAATGTATAGTGAGACGTTTTTCGAAGAATACCATGCGATCGGTAGCTTCCTATGTACGTCCGTTTGCCTTCTTACTCGTGGTTTAGACATACTCAGTGACCAGTTCAGAGTTTATATATTCATATCCCACATCCACACCTTATTTTCCTGCGATGACTTAAATAAAATGGATCAATCTCGTTTATAATCCATATTGCTCTGTTTATCTGGACAGATAATCAAGAAAATTCTTCGGAACACTTAATTTCTCTTGTAAGAAGAGCTGCAAAACATAGTTTATCGAATTATATGTTGTTGACTGGTAATGCATTTACACGAGACGGTGATAACATATATTATAAATGATTCATTCGTACAAAACAGCATAATTCTATGGAAAGATGACTCATGCATTGCACAAAAAAGGAAAAGAAGAATATTTTTTTCTTTTCAACATGTGACATCATAACAATCTTGCACAATCCGTGAGTAGTTCTAATTCTTTCATCAGAAAGAATGCTGCGCATATGCAATTGATGACGACAGGAGAAGTAAGTCCATCTATAAATTGTTTCTTGTTTTTTTTTGAACTTTGGCTGCTTTATTCCCTTGCACGGTGGCACTATGTCTACAATTTTCGTGATGCAATGTTTCTTTTTTTGGTCTGAACTTTCACTTTCTTTTTTGTATTGCAAGAAAACGATCGAACTATTTGATGGCTGTAAACTCTTTATGAAATAGTTTTAATTGAATGTTGAAAGATTACTGTTCATCTAATATTTAAAAAAACGTGAATGTATTGAATAGAAAGAATCCATTATTTAGTAATCACTGATATGCATCATAGATATAGATAGTGTATTTTGAAGCGAAATGTATAGTTTAATAGATGAAACTTTAACTCATTTCTTCTTATTCCATTATTAGAAGAATACGGATTCCGATATTTTTACAAAGCCAAGCTTTTGGGAATGCGATAATTGCAATCGTATTCTTAAACATGGCGAATTTCGTTTCAATTGCACTGTCTGTCCTGATTATAACCAATGTGAAACGTGTACAGCAACAATGCAACCACCACATCACCATCGAATGGTTCGTGAGATTGCATATGGTTATGTCGAAGAAGCAGAATACACTAGAGTAGATCTGGCAGCAAGAATTCTGGCTGCAGTTACCACCTATCAGGATCGTTATTGTATGGGGGTACGTGATATTGATCCAAATAATCCTAAAAACTATGTAGACTCGTATTCATGGCAAACATTCAAAACTATCGGTGAACGAATAACAAATTTCAGTCATGGACTACGACGTTTGATAAAACCACGCGGTTATCTCGGGATCTGTGCAGCCAATCGACCTGAATGGTTAGTGACTGATTTTGCTTGTATTCTACAGAGTTTTATTACTGTACCAATCTATTGTCTGTTTAATGATCGTGAAATAGCTTTCATTATCAAAAACACACCAGTATCCATTATTGTTTGTGACAAAGAAATGTTACCAAGATTCATTCGCTTACATTCAGAATGTCCATCATTACGACATATTGTATGCATGGATCCAATTCCTGAGGCAATGTCGAGTAAGATGAAAATTTATTTTTAGAAACATGTTAGAATTCTAGAGCAATAGGTTCATCTTCAGATAACAGAATGGAAATTTTTCCGAGACGTTGAATATTTTGAATAAATTACCTTGAAAGCAATATATATGGTTCACTATCGAATATATTGGATAGAAATCATAGATAGAATGTTTTATTTGAATTTTTCACACAAATTCCTTATTCTTTACAATGACTGTGAATAATCTTCCTGTAAGAAATAGCTGCCTTTTTTTCTAGTTTTTTGGAGTAGATTTAGAAATAAGGACATACTATACTATGGTTACACTAATATTTCTTTCTAAGGACTGTCACTTGCAGAAATCTTCAGTTTTTTTGATACTATAATCCTATTTACAGTCACATTTATACAAAATTATCAAAGTTTCGCAAATAGGTTTTTTCGTCCTTCGCAGTAAGAAAAAAACTGAACTATCGAAAAACTTTTCATATAATAATCATATTCAATTTCATCAAAACTGAAAACAAATGTCATCAATGATTTTCTTGTGACATTCTAGTCATATCTTCGTGCGACTTGAAATAATGTTAGATCATATGATCGGTTTCTACTACCTTAAACAAAATATTTATACAATTCTTGTATAGCATAACATAGCCATCATGATTTTGTCCAAATCAAAAGAGAATTACTTTCTCGATTAGATTATCACCGTTTGATTCCAAATCCATCGAAAAATTGAGATCTATCTTTTGCAACGTATTATGACGGCGTCATCTGCTTTCGGAATTATCACTCAGTGAAATTCCCCGATATATTCATAAGTCCTGAGGTTCTTTCTAAGAGTATGAAATATAGTCGGCCTCTGATCTGTTGCTATCAACACTTAATTTTTTTAAAATGAAGAATAGTTCTGAAAGCAGTTTTGTATATCTAAAAACTAGTTTCAAAGAAATTCTGTGGCGATCTATATTCTCAATAACTATTTCAAATACTATCCTTTATGAACATTTTCAGAGGCATGACGAGTATCAACCACATTATCCTACCTCCTAAACTTTGTACATCAGTCGTGCTGATAAAACAGCTCGATTCGTAAATTTACCTAAACATTGATCGTTTTACTAGTAAAAAAATTGAATTTCAATAATTATACAAATTAGAATCCAATCTATTCAAATATGCAGCAAATGTTAGTCTTCTATGATGATATATGTTAGAATAATTCATAAGCACAATCTAATTCTAGAGATAAATGGTCTTTCGATTCATTACATGGGCACTATAGAAAGATATGGTTCAATGAAGCGATACGACTATGTCATCACTGCACCTGATGATTGTATTACTGTCATATATACGAGTGGAAGCTTAGGATTTCCTAAAGGAGCTATGATCTCCGAAAATGCGTTTAAAAATAATTTTCCACGATTAAATATAACATTCCGAGATGAACGTATCAAATTCTGTTACCGACCGCTTGCATGGGCAACTGATCGTGAAGGTTCAATCGCAGTATTTCTCGAAGGAGGACGAATAGGATTTTCAACGGGTGATGTAACTCGTCTAATGGAAGAACTAGCTCTAGTCAGGCCGACGAGCTTTTCTGCTCCACCAACTATTTGGAATAAAATTTATGCTGAATATAAAGCAACCCTTTCATTAATGACTACCGATCAATCAACTATTGATGTGGCAATGGCTGAAGAGACTCTTCTTCAACAATTTGCAAAATTAATTCCAATACGATGTAAAATTCTTTCTATTGGTGGTGCCATGGTTAGTTCGACAGTGCTCGATTTTATGAAACGTTGTTTTCGACATTGTCAAATCATGGAATCATACGGAACTACTGAATGCGGTAGCATTACATTTGACAATCTTATTGAAATGACCATCGATTATCGTCTTGAATCAGTACCAGAAATGTGCTATACACTTGATGACAAGCCATTTCCACGAGGTGAGCTATTGGTTAAAACGAAGACGATGTTTTCAGGATATATGAATAATCCTGAAGAAACAAAAATGGCATTTACCGATGATGGATTTTTTCATACTGGAGACATTGTTGAGTTACGTCGTGTGAATGATGGACAACTTAATCTACGTGTTATTGATCGAAAAAAAAATTTCTTCAAACTTTCTCAAGGACAATTTGTATCACCAGAATTTCTTCAAGAAATTTATATGCAAAGTCCATTCGTTGAACAAATGTACATTCATGGTAATCCTCTAGAAGATTCTGTTGTAGCAGTCATAGTACCAAACAAAGAGTATGCTCGAGCATTTGCTATCAAACATAATCTAACTGAATTTGATAATAGTCGTCCAGATAAATTGTTTTATGATGCTATCATGCAAGATCTACGTTTATTAGCTACGAAAGAATCACTTCGAAAACACGAAATTCCGTCTAGATTAATCATTGATTTTGAACCATTTACATCTGAAAATGGTTTGCTCACATCATCAATGAAACTTTGTCGTTATCGATTGGCTGCTCATTATGCTGATCGATTAAAAGCTGTCGAGTCAATTGAAGATCGCTTAAAAAGTATGATTGAAAAAGCAACAGGACATCAATTAGCAATAGATCAAGCAACAAATTTTATATCTATCGGTGGTGACTCATTGTCTGCTGTGCGTCTCTCTCGTATGATATACGATGATCTCGGGGTACCTATACCACTCAATATGTTTTTCAAATCTAATATGACTTTAGACAATCTAGTAAATATAATTAAAAATCCATCACAAATCTTATCGTTTCCGGACTCGATTATACCTCAACTATTGAACGATTCCGTACAAGAACTCAATATAAAGATTGGTGAAAAGAAAAATGGAAATATGTTGCCTTCAACAATTTTTATTACAGGAACCACCGGATTTGTAGGTTCTTTCTTACTAGCCGAATTATTGAAAGTGTATCCAGCCGATTGCAAATTCATTTGCCTTGTCCGATGTCAAGTTTCAATAAATCCGTTAGATTGTATTCAAGAAAATATGATATTTCTTCAATTGTGGAATGAAGAATTCCGAGATCGTATTATCGCATTGCGTGGCGATCTTGCCCAAGAACACTTTGGACTTGATAATGAAACTTATTCGGAATTGGCTAATCAAATAGATATTATTTTTCATTGTGGAGCTACCGTTAATTTTATACTACCTTACAACAAACTCTACAGTTCGAATGTTTCTGGAACTCTGGAAGTGATACGTCTTGCGACTCATACTGCTACAAGTATACCAGTGCAATACATATCAACAATTAGTGTACTACCTTCGGAAATGAAACAAGAAGTACATATCGATGAAATCTCTCCTAATCATTTGAAAAGTGGTTATGCACAAAGTAAATGGGTAGCAGAGAAGCTGATTGCAAAGGCCAATCGTTTAGGTCTACCAGTTAATATCTATCGGCTTGGATCGATTTGGGGAAATACAGAAACTGGTGCTTGTAATCAAAATGATATCAACACACTATTATTGGCAGCAATCATGAAAACAGGCTGCTATCCAACGACAGCCTCCAATATAAAACTAAATGGTTTACCAGCTAATTTAGCTGCTCAAAGTATTGTATTTTTGAGTCACATTCAACCAAATATTTACGGTAAAACATATAATATTATTCAATCGAATGAAGGAATATCATTTCAAAATATAATTGAAAATATTCAAAATTGTGGAATTACACTTGTCAGTTTGTCTTACGACGAATGGAAAGTCAAGTTAATGTCACAATCAACAACAAAACGTCCATTCGAATCGATTGTAGAATTTTTCACGAACAATCCATTCGAACGAATGTCATCGTCACAGCCATCATCTAGTAATATACTTCAATTGACATTTCCAGCAATTGATGATGTTTATATCATGAAATGGTTAACATTTATATTAAATAATATTGTTCATTGATCGTTCTTTAACAGACATTATTTTGAGTTTTCTAAACTTCCTTCAAAAACAGTTGCCAAATTTGGCAAGACTATGTGTTTGTACTCAGAGTGTTATAGAGGAATTTTATTATTCGTGTCTTGTTTAATTAATAGTGTTATGAAAATTAAGTCCTCTCTGGCGCATAAATAATTAATACTTACCAATCAGATTTCCTTGATGCGATTGATGAGACCAACATATGATTGACATAGACAATTTACTTAAGATTGATAAGAATACATGACTTTCACTTATTTCACTAATTTCGCCGGGTTGCTTGATTCATTTAGAATCTGTTGATTCAGTCATTGTCTTTCGGAAGAATAAAATAAGAGGGTTTAGTAAATAATCGATCATTAATGCTGTCGCCTGTCGTAAGAGAAAGTGAGTGAACATTTTAATAAAAATTCCTCGATGCCAAAACAATACTTCTCATTATTCATCTGTATATCAATCGGAAAATGGTTGCACTCGTTTTTGTATTGTTGTTGAGTATCGTGGACTATTGACGTATGTGGAAAAGAACGAGAAAGTCTTTCAATTGATGTCTGAGAGCCGTCTGGTTCAAATTTGATTGTTGTTCATAAAGGAGAAAAGACTTAGAAATGAATCTGGTATCAATACAAAGATGGATAGATAGATTGATTCAATGTCAATGCGAAAACACGCATCGACAAAGTAAACTAATATAATCGTATAAAGTTTGATGTCTTCAGTTTTCATCGTTTTGTACAAATCTAAACTTTTCAAAGTAATTTTTTCATTGCTATACGTGTTTATCATTCATCTATAATAGGCGACGGCTCAGTCTATCTTGGAAAAAGTGCTCAGCATTAACATGTTGCCACACTTGATCAAAATGTTTAATGTAACAGTGATCACATATTTATTTTTCTAATAGATTAAAGTCATTTCCGATAAAACTTTGAGACTCAGACCAAATATCTACCTCATACTGATTGGATCCCAAACATTGCATAAAAGAATCACAATAATTTCATCCTGATTATTGGTTCTGTTGGTGTTCGTCGACTTCTGTGTTCATTGGATTAGATAATCATTTTCTCAAATTTTCATTGAATATAGAGCTTGATTATTTCGATCTTGAAATAGAAGACCCATGTTCCACGTTTATTCAGAGTACCGCGAGTATACCACGATACTCGTAAGAACCAGCTGTAGCGCTTACGACTTTCGGTTCCATTTATAAACGGCTGCAGAGCGTTTCCTATCGAAATTCAAATTTATTATTAGACAGAGTTCAACTTCGTCGTAAAAACAAAAATTTCAGAATATATTTTATCAGTAAAAGTTTTTGAAACGTCATTTATAATAAAAAAAAATTATCTCAGAACTAGAGCAGATTTAGGCTTCTGCTGTTATAGCATCAGTACACATTGCAATATCTATACTAGATATATGCAAGCTTACCCTACGCTGAAAATAAAAAAAGAAGTTCTGCAGCACGTTCAGAACCAGTTTATAGTTCTGTGCAGCAGTATTAAATCCTGAAAGGTTCTATCCAATAATGCTGAACCATACAATGTTCTCTCTCCAGAAATGATGAACCGGAAAGGTTCTGCCAGATAATACTGAACTTTGCATAGTTCTGCCCAATAATGCTGACCCTTACAGAATTCTGTCAAAAAAAAACTAAAGCATAAAAGTACTCGATCCAATGACACTGATCCAGAAAAGGTTCTGTCAGCTTTTCAAAACCTTTCTAAGTTTCTCAGTCAAAATAAGAAACTGTAAAAGGGTTCGGCAAAGAAAAAATGGTTTAGTGTATACCAATTATGAAATCTTTTTTAAAAGGCTTGATACAAAGCATTTTTTTTAAATATGGTTTAGGATGCATTACAGAAAACTGTTTCATCACATGTTTTTTCCCTTCTTTCACATCGTGATACGTTAATATACTCTGGTTATACGATTTTTCTTGGCGATGGAGAACGCTTTTATGTACTCAAAGTATAAAGATGGAATGAATTTATTTACTTTTTCAGCTGCTTGAATTTGTTTATATTGTTTAGCTGTTATTTATTTCAGAATAAGATTGAAATAAATCACTACCCTATCGAAAACACGCAGCTTATTTACAAGTACTTCCGGTAAACAATTATAAAAGTACATTAGTTCTATCATTTATATTTAGTATTTTAATTGCTTTAAGATAAATTTCATCATCTTTTTCCGTTTATACTATGCCATTATTAACATAAGAAAGAAGAAATATCGGTATTTTCTAACAACAGTAAATGATATATATTCTTGGTATTGACTACTATCGTATTCTATCTTAACAACTAATTTTTTCTCCCTTAAATAATCTAAAGTTATTTGTTTCCAAATAACATTTTACTGAAAATACAAATATAATAATATGTTCCTCATAATCAAAAGGCATAGATATACTTATTCCCTTTTCTGAAAGAAAGGGTTATACAGCGGTTAAAAAACGCTTAAAGTTTGTCTGTCTGTCTGTCCAAGCCAATCAGAAAGGAGCTTTTCTATTCATGCAAATGGCGATCGATGGTGGATTGGTTGCACCCGAGCATTGCCGACAATTCACGAGTGGTTAATCGTGGATTGTCTTCGATCAGGACTTTTAATCGTTCAATATCGGATTCGAGAGGACGTCCAGATCTCGGACGATCTTCTAATGATATGTCATCTTCACGAAATCTTTTAAACCAATCTCGACACGTTCGATCAGCAACAGCACCTTCACCAAGTGCAGCACATATATTGCGGGCAGCAGCATTTGCATTGTTCCCTAATTGGAACTCATACAAAATGCAGTGTCGGATATGAATAGGAATCTCTGACATGTTTTAATGAAGAATGTAAATAAAATGGGACCTTTACCAATGTCATCTTATAGTACGGCACAAGCGGTATCATATGTGTGAAAATCACGAATGCATAGTAGCGCTAGAGGACTTTAAAAAAAATTTTAAAAAATCGGCGGAGACTTTTGCATCAACCCAATATTAGTTGAGAAATTATGAATTTTGAAAAAAAATAGCTTCAAGATGAGGAAATCAGACACTATGGAGGGTTCCTCAAAAAAAAAATCCAACCTTGAAAATTTCAAAAAAAACCTCTAGATTCGAATTTCTCGATCTCGAATCGTTGATTAAATTTTTATCAGAAATTATTATTTTCAAAACAGTATCTCTAATATATATTTTTCTTTTCATCATGACAATAAAATGTTTATAAAAACCATTTCAAATATTTTAGCATTCATCATATACATCTATCTCTAATCTAATTCGGATTATTTCATAATAAATCATAAATTTTCGTTGTTTTTCATATACTTTTTGGTTATTAATAATTACTAATTTAAATTAAAAAGTACTGTCCCATCGTACATATATACATTTGGTGTCCTTCAAATATTTTTTTTTCTATTGACAGATATGATATAAAGTCTATTTACAATAAAGGAAAATACAAATGAAAATCTTTAGGAGGAACATATAATTCTTT